CGTCAATTCACTCGCGATATTTGCACACAATATGTGATGCGTACGTATCAGTCGCGCGTGTGTATGCGACCGTAAGTGTCGTGCACGCGAGATGGCGATTCGTGAATCCAAATTAGTCGGGAACCAATTTTAATTGTGCTAATTGTCATAATTTCAACGAGATCCCGATGCACCACCGCACGCAAACGAGGTGGTCTCACACAATTGCGGGAATCGCCGTAATTCGAGACACGGCTATTCGGAATAGCGTTTCCTATCTTTAGTGAAACCCCATGATTTTATATGTATACATGTGTATGCATATATATACAGGGTGTCCCGGATCACCTTCACAATCTCTCGTAGAGCGAATTGAGATGAACACAAAAGTCCCATACCGTTTTGCGATATTCACAATAATAGTCGAAATATTAATTAAAGAAGATTGGTGAATGATCACGTGCGATCATTCACCAAACTTCTTTAATAATTCATATGGTAGATGAGCTGCAGTGGCACCGTCTGCCGCTGTATATTTATACATTAAGTCAAACTGAACAAAAAAGTTCTCTACCATTTTGCAAATGACCACATAGATTTTTAGATATTAATTAAAGAAAATTGTTACATGATTGTGTATTATAATGTATAAATTTTCTTTAATTAATATCTAAAAATCTGTGTGGTCATTTGCAAAATGATAGAGGACTGTTTTGTTCAGTTTGACTTAATGTATAAGTATACGACGGTAGACGGCGCCACTGCAGCTCTTCTACCATATCGCGCGTGATCATTCGTCAATCTTCTTTAATTAATATCTAAAAATCTGTGTGGTCATTTGCAAAATGATAGAGGACTGTTTTGTTCAGTTTGACTTAATGTATAAGTATACGACGGTAGACGGCGCCACTGCAGCTCTTCTACCATATCGCGCGTGATCATTCGTCAATCTTCTTTAATTAATATCTAAAAATCTGTGTGGTCATTTGCAAAATGATAGAGGACTGTTTTGTTCAGTTTGACTTAATGTATAAGTATACGACGGTAGACGGCGCCACTGCAGCTCTTCTACCATATCGCGCGTGATCATTCGTCAATCTTCTTTAATTAATATCTAAAAATCTGTGTGGTCATTTGCAAAATGATAGAGGACTGTTTTGTTCAGTTTGACTTAATGTATAAGTATACGACGGTAGACGGCGCCACTGCAGCTCTTCTACCATATCGCGCGTGATCATTCGTCAATCTTCTTTAATTAATATCTAAAAATCTGTGTGGTCATTTGCAAAATGATAGAGGACTGTTTTGTTCAGTTTGACTTAATGTATAAGTATACGACGGTAGACGGCGCCACTGCAGCTCTTCTACCATATCGCGCGTGATCATTCGTCAATCTTCTTTAATTAATATTTCGACTATTATTGCGAATATCGCAAAACGGTATGGGACTTTTGGGTTCATCTCAATTCGCTCTACGTCCTCACGAGAGATTATGAAGGTGATCCGGGATACCCTGTAGATATATGTGGGCGTATTTGTTTGTATGTATGTATGCGTATACAGAGTGTCCCGTCACTACCGCACTATCTCTTAAGGGCGGATTGCTGAGGTAATTTAAATAGAAAAATTCTAATACAAGAATGGCGAGGCTATAATACTTTTCAAATTATAAACGATTAAAGTTGACCAATTATACTGGCTAAGTACGCGCGCTCAGGTACAACACACAATGGTACAGGTGCATGTACATCGTTCCTTTTCCAAATATTGATACGGAAGTTCTATACAACAATATATGTAATAATAACCTTTTTTATCATTTAAATAAACATATCGCAAATAATAACAATCTCGTCAAAATGTTATGAATAAAATTCACACACAATACATTTATGAAAATCAGTAAGCTGTCACACATTTGACGTTTCTTTCAGAGATTTACAACTAATTTCATATCTTATGCAAATTCTCACTTATGTGCATGCAACCTGTATTATTATGTGTTGTACCTGAGCGCGCGTACTTTAGCCAATATAATCTTCAACTTTAATCAACTTTAATCGTTTATAATTGGAAAAGTATTATAGCCTCGATATTTATGCATTAGGATTTTTTTCTTCAAATTACCTCAGGAATCCGTCCTTAAGAGATAATGCGGTAGTGGCGGGACACCCTGTATATGCATATAGATGTGTGTATATATGTCATATGTACGTGTACATCTATATGTGTATGTGTGTGTGTGTGTGTGTACGTATGTATATATGAATGCACGTATGTATGTACACTCACGTGCATTAAATCGCGCTGCGAGAGGAGAGGCGTTGTTCTCTCACTCCGGCCGTCACTCTCCGCCAGCTGCCGGCCGGGTCTAGCACGAAATATAGACAATGGAGATGCACGATATCGATTATATCTATAATCGATTATTTCTTCCCGATAGAGGCAATTATTTAATCGATTCTTTGTAATTCGATTATGGCTTAGAATCGATACTTTCAAACCGATTATTGACCGATTATCGTCCTTACGGAAAAGTGACGCTTGATTGGTTATCGAGTCAGGAAGATTGAATACTCCATTAGTTCTCCTATAGAATATCGGATCGTCGTACGTCGGATGTCGAATACGGTGTGAGTTCTCCATTAGCGCTCAATGAGGGAATGAATATGATTAGCTCTTTCTTGTGAAATCCAATCAGTATATTCAAAAACTTCATTGTATGACAAATGAAACAACACTCTAAGGATGAAGTCCCGTGATATGTATTTTCCTCATGTATCGCGTAAGCGCGTAAGCAATAAATTGCGACATTTAGTGTTTCTGTTGGAACTTCTAAAAGAATAGAAAGATGCGATTGGTTACGCGGTTACGCGAAAATATGCGCCACAGGACTCCACGCTTACGAAGGATTCAGGCTGATTCTACATTAGTCGTATCGTAGCGTTGCAAGTCACAGATTGCGAAAAATTGACCAATCATAGTAGATTATTTTTCTCACATTCGATTATGATTGGTCAATCTCTTGCGACTTGTAATGCTACAATACGACTACTGTGGAGCCGACCTAAAGCCTATGGAGAATTGAATCTTTCATTAGGCCGGTTCTACAATGCGTCGTTTATCGGAGTCAAATGTCGAAACGCAGTCAATGGTCCAATGAGGATAACTCGTTACGGAAAATAAACTCTCTCATTGAACCATCGATTGCATTCCGACATGCAACCCCGATAAATGACGTATTGTACCGGCCTTAGAAAGTTGTTCTTCTATCCAGTATCGGACGATCGTATATCGGATGTCGGACGTTATATGAATCTCCCATTAAGCTAATATTACACATGTCGTACGACAAATTTGTTGAATATACTGATTGGCTATCAGAAGGAAAACTTCTAGAATGTCAGGTGGAAAAGTTAAAAAGACTCTATCCGACAGCCAATCGAAATGCCTGACAAACTTGTGTAGGACTCATGTAATATGTAAACATGTAACATGTAATATGTAATATGTAAACATATATATGTTTAATCGAATACAGATATAATCGATATTTACTATAATTGATTTTTTTTTCCGACACGGACTGATGTAATATGCAGTATTGCATAAATCTAAATGCATAAATATCTAAATATGATAAAATTTAAATATGATAAAATTATTTTACGATAAATTTACATGTGTTTATTTTCCTCTTATTAATTATCAATAATTCGCTTTATTCATTATTCATTATTGCGTGACAAACACGATAATTCTCAATTTGTTTTGGTCGAGCTATCAGCTTAAAATCAATTATAGTCTTTCCTGAAGAACCTGATATACTCTCGTTATGCGTCTCTCTCTCCCTCTCTCTCTCTCTCTCTCTCTCTCTCTCTCTCTCTCTCTCTCACACACACATACTCACACACACACATACCCACACACGCTCTGTCTCTTGTTAATGCTATATCTTACTTTTTATACATTTTATTCTTCTATCCTATCGAGTCTCGCGACCCGCAAAGAATGTCGCCTCGAGCTTTCTTTTCTTCTTTCGTCAAGACAAACCCCAAATAAAAATTCTAGAGAAACACATTTGTTCTATACGATCCGTACTTAAATTCTAGTTGCATTTGCAAAACGGGTCCGTTGCGTTGGTCTGATCGGAAAGCTTTTATTTCCTTGCATATCATTACATTTGTCTTGAGATTCAGAAGAAAAGAGGGCAAGGAATTCTAGAATATCCTCTGCGTTTCTTTACAACTTTATCGTTGGTCTTTTTGTTCGTTTCAAATTTTAATGAAATGTTTAATATTAGAATCTTGAAACAGATGCAATCGTATTTGACAATAAATAGACAGAGGTATTGGTACCTCGATTAAATTTAAGCATCCCTGGGCACACTCAGCAGTTACTATTCACGAATAGCGTTTACATGCTAATAGACGTTTCCGAGGAATCGATCGTTGCAGCTTTCTCAGCAGTTGCGACGACGGCGAGACGGTCGCGACGACAAGTTAAATTAATAAGCCTTACTGCTTCGAGCTCGCGCGTTATTCAGTTGAACGGCGAGGAGACATCATAGCGCGACGCATTACTATTGTAATTCCGTCCGTCTTTCGTTAGCGGCGCAGTTAACAGCGTGCAAACGAGGTGAACCGCAATCACGAGCCGTTGCGATTTCTCTCTTCATGACGAGTTCAGCAAAAGGATTGACGTGGAAATAACTTGCACATACACGTGCGAGTCTCTATGGCCTTGCTACTACTAATCAACCTGGGAAGCCGCTCGCCCTCGGTTATTAGTCACCGCAAACACGCAATTTATCACACTTATTTCGCGTCAATGCACCCCGGGATGCCACGACAATATTTATCTCAGTTGCCTAAAAATAGGAAATTTGTCGGCGAAATTCTATACATGCAATTTTAATATAGACTATATATTTTATTATATCAGACCAAGTAAATAAGCGGGATTGATGATTTTGCAATTGGGAATTTTATAACTAGGATATTGAAAAAAATACGAGTTTATATATTAAAGATTAATTTATTATATCATTAACAATTTATATAATTTCAGAACTAGTATATTTTCACGAATTTAAAAAATATTAGCTGCTCAGTTAAAACATATCCAAAGGATGAACAATCTGAAACAAAAAATTTTGTATTCTTGAAAAAAAATAAAGTAACTTTTAAGAAATTATAAAATTGAGATAAAAATAAAATAGTAAAACAATTGTCTTAACATTGTTATATTTCTTTAATTAAATTATAAATTATTTTACATAGTGATCAATTAGCAAATATCCTACAGATCATAGTATTTATAGATCTTGGTGTTTCATCACATTTATATATTAATACATTATGCAGTGCACGAGATCAACATAATAATTAAAAATTACCTGCAGAACCATCTTCGTCATTAAATTATTAGGACTTTGGGAAATTTAGCAAGTCTAAAAAGTAAATTAATATGTAAACGAATTATTTGATTTTTAATAAGATGTATTATTCACGCGGAATTTCATTTTGATCAAAATGAATCAGTAGTAGCAAATTAAAAAATCATAGCATTCATAAATTTTGGTGATAACGATAACATCATTTCATCTAATTTTATATAAAGTATAGAATAATGTTAAAAAATATACTTTTACGTACTTTTAGAATCACACCTTAGGAAGAAAAGAAATGCATCTCTCACACAACCTATATAAGTAGTAAAATAAAATCTCGTTAGATAAAATTATTTCTTGCTAACATTTTAAGTCAATATAAATAATAATCAGTTAGCAAATACTTTACAAATCATGGCATTCATAGATCTTGGTGATATTAATAACATCATTTCATCTAATTTCTAAATATAAAGTATAGAATAATGTTAAAAAATATATCTTTTCATACTTTTAGAATCTTGCCTTGTGAAGAGGAGAAAATAGTGCACCAGACAACCTAAATAAATAATAAAATAAAATCTCGTTAGATAAAATTATTTCTTGCTAACATTTTAAGTCAATATGAATAATAATCAGTTAGCAAATACTTTACAAATCATGGCATTCATAGATCTTGGTGATATTAATAACATCATTTCATCTAATTTCTAAATATAAAGTATAGAATAATGTTAAAAAATATATCTTTTCATACTTTTAGAATCTTGCCTTGTGAAGAGGAGAAAATAGTGCACCAGACAACCTAAATAAATAATAAAATAAAATCTCGTTAGATAAAATTATTTCTTGCTAACATTTTAAGTCAATATGAATAATAATCAGTTAGCAAATACTTTACAAATCATGGCATTCATAGATCTTGGTGATATTAATAACATCATTTCATCTAATTTTAAATATAAAGTATAAAATGATATTAAAAATATATCTTTACATACTTTTAGAATTTCGCCTTGTAAAGAGTAGAAAATAGTGCACCAGACAAACTAAATAAATAATAAAATAAAATCTCGTTAGATAAGATTATTTCTTGCTAACATTTTAAATCAACATGAATAATAATCAGTTAGCAAATGCATTATAAATCATGGCATTCATAGATCTTGGTGATATTAATAACATCATTTCATCTAATTTCAAATATAAAGTATAGAATGATATTAAAAAATATATCTTTACATACTTTTAGAATTTTGCCTTGTAAAGAGTAGAAAATAGTGCACCAGACAACCAAAATAAATAATAAAATAAAATCTCGTTAAATAAGATTATTTCTTGCTAACATTTTAAGTCAATATGAATAACAATCAGTTAGCAAATACTATATAAATCATGACACTCATAAATCTTGAAGAAATATTTCATTGTATCTGAATACAGTGTATTACTACAAAGTAAATGAAAGATCTACACAATAACTAATTACCTGTAGAACCATTTTTTGATATTCAATTACTAGAACTTGGAAAATCTTATGGAACTTTAGTAAATCTGAAAAATAAACGACAAATTATATGATTTTTAATAAGCCAAACCATTCACACGAGATGTAATTTTGATTAAAATAGATCAGTAGTAGCAAATGAAGAAATCATAACATTCATAGATCTTGGTGATAATAATAACATCATTTCATTTCATATATAAAATGCAGAATAATGTTAAAAAATATACTTTTACATACTTTTAGAATCGCGCCTTATGAAGAAAAGGATGCGCATCAAACCTAAATAAAATAAAATCTTGTTAGATAAGATTATTAATTGCTAACATTTTAAGTCAACATGAATAATAATCAGTTAGCAAATACTTTACAAATCATAGCATTCATAGATCTTGGTGATATTAATAACATCATTTAATCTAATTTCAAATATAAAATACTAAATAATGTTGAAAAGTATATCTTTACATACTTTTAGAATCTTGCCTTATGAAGAGAAGAGTGCACTCCCCAGACAACCTAGATAAATAATAAAATAAAGTCACGTTAGATAAAATTATTACTTGCTAATATTTTAAATCAATGTAAGTAATAATCAGTTAGCAAATACTATATAAATCATAGCATTCATAAATCTTGGTGGAATATTTCATCATATCTTCATGCATTACTATGCAGTAAATAAGAAATATACACAATAACTAAATATTACCTGTGAAACTATCTTTGCCATTTAATTATCAGGACTTGAAGAAATTTAGCAAATCTGAAAAATAAACGAATTGTGTAACTTGTATAAAAAGTTATATTATTCATACAGAATGTAGTTTTAATAAAAATGAGTCAGCAGTAGCAAATTGAGAAATCACAGCATTCATAGATCTTGGTGATAATAATATTACATCATGTTATATTTTCAAATATAAAATATAAAATCATGGCACTTATAAATCTTGATAAAAAAAATTATTATTCCTAGTATTTTCATTTTGTATAAATAAAAAGTAAAATTTACCTAATGAATATCTCTTACTGGCCAGTGATGATTAGTAAAACTGTGTTACTGATTCTTATACAAATCTGAAAATAGAAAAAGAAACTATATAAGATAGAACACAATATGTTTATAAATAAAACATTAGTTTGCTTACCTAATACAAAAATATAGATGAATTACTTAATAGTGCATATTTATACAATGTGTTACTTATAGTCATGGAAAAATAATATTTTAGACACATTTGCAAAGTAAAGAGCACAGCACAGTTCATTCTCAATAGAGTATAAATATTGTCATATTAAAGTAAATATATTATAACATAAATATTAATATAAAACAAATATATTTAAAAGATTTTTTTTAAATGCTAGTGTTCATTTACTTTACAGAACATGTCTTGCATGAAAAATTACGTTAAAACATATATTTAATGAAATATACAAATTAATCAGCCTTTTTAGCTGTTCGTGTCTTCTTAGCAGGTAAAGGTTTTTGAGAACGTAGCACAGCACTGGCTCGTCGTAATGCAGCCTGGAAAACATATCATGCTATAGCATTACTAATCATTATTACATAAATCAATATTAATAAATCACAATTAGTAATCACTGTATGATTCTTATACCTTGGTAAGGTCTACACAATACTTGTTTGCTGTGAGCAAAGTCTTCAACTTATGAAGAGATCGACGAGCTCCAGCTTTCATTGTGCTCCTCACAGTAGTTTTGGCAGGTTTGTTAACTGCCTTAGCCTTCTTGTAGACAACAGTGAATCCCTTTTTGTCAGGTGTATCAACAATACCTACGCTTTTACGGTGGATCAATCCAGAGTAACGATAACTGCTTAAGTTTGTCAAGTTGTTGGATTCCTAAATATTTCCCATTTAATTTATTATTGCATACTTATTAAGACAACTTATTAAAAAATATGTAATATTTCTATGTTTATAAAATATTGCAAGTTACCAACCGTTGAGAATGGCTTATTGATGTTGCGCTTCTTAAGCAAGAAGGCATTGTTGTTACGAATTATCATCCAATTCAAATGCGACGACATCTTGGGTTTTCTGTAACAGTCATGGTTATTAAACGACTATTTTGTATCATAATTATGAATATTTTCTTGTTCAAATAGGTGATGTGTGCAAAGTTAAACTACATAAGGCTTGTGATAGTGTCGATGATTCTCAAGTACGATTCAAGAAAAAGAAAGTTCTATTTTTACATTAACAAAACATCAATTATCATCTGGAATACATCAATACAATGTTGAAAGAAAAATATCTCGCCTTAGAGGATTAGTAAGAGAAATTGGATAATAAAGACAAAATTGTACATACCTACCACGTGCACACGAAGGAAAGACAACGAGAAAGAGACTTTCAATATGGCGAATAGAAATACTATCGATTAAATCATATATAGACGGAATTCAATAGATGCATCCAGTACACCGGAAAACGTTGAAGGAGTGAAACTAGAGACCTCTCACAGAGAGCTGCGAACTATACTTGGTATTTTATAAAATTATATTCAACGTTTGTAACTTGCATTATGCTTATTTCAGCATAAGACTTTTTTTGCGTACCTTTTATATTATGATAAAAGTACATACAGAGGCGGATTTTACTTTTGTATTCAGAATGGATAATATATTTTCTAATAGCATGTTCGACTGGCTCTGGGTTAACCCAATGGGTTATTCAGCCTACGTTTATTGGTCGAACAAGTACTTATAAGCTTTATGATTGGCTAATAGAGACTTATGACGTCATTAATCGCTCTCGGAGCGATTAACCCAGGGCCAGTCGAACACACTTTAATTAATATTTGTACTTTAGTGTAGTTAAAGTTGCACTTTCGCGATATCTACACTCAACAGTTTTACTTTTCACAGAAGAAAAGTTGCATCATGAATTTTTTTATTATATTTCTTATATTACGATGAAGGTAAGTACAGAGCCCATTTTTACATTTAGACTCTTGAAAATTAATAAAAAATTAAAATGTAGCTTGACTTTTCGATAACTCATTACACTCTTGTTGAATTAATATTTAAACCTTTCTTTTCAAAAAATGCTCTATGGGCGGAATTCATAATCAGATCTTATATTTAAGATCATCTTAGGTTTGTTCGAGTTGCTTGTACTTTTTACACTTTTACATCTAATGCCCGTTGCACACTAGTGCACTCCAAACAACACAAATTTTCAAAAATACATTCTGAAGACGTTTTCAGGACGGAGGGACGTCATCAGAATATTCTTAGGACGTCCTTTGAAAGTGTGAATTGTCTAAAAGTAGCTAATATCCAGTAAGTTTATTCACATTAATTGAATGTTTTACACTTTCACACTTAGTGCACATTAATTCTTTAGAGGTTCTAAAAATGGCGTCATGTTTTCCATTCGTGTTACGAGTGTAAATGCAATTCTGATACACTTTTCACTTTTGCTTAGGATCAAGTGTAAAAAGTATATCAAAATTGCAATTACACTCGTAAAGCCCGTATCAGACTATAGATTAGGATTGAGATTGAATTGAAATTTAGCCAATCAGAGCAAAATTTACTAAGCTCAAGTTTGGTGAACTTTACTCTGATTGGCCAATTTTTAATTCAATCTCAATCTTAATCCATAATCTGATACAAGCTTAACACGAACGGAACTCATGACGTCATTTTTAGAACCTCTAAAGAATTAATGTGCACTAAGTGTGAAAGTGTAAAAAGTTCAATTAATGCGAATAAACTTATTGGATATTAGCTATTTTCAGACAGCTTACATCTTCAAAGGAAGTCCTAAAAATATTCTGATGACATCTCTCCGTCCTAAAAGCGTCTTCAGAACGTATTTTGGAAAATTTGTATTGTATGAGGTGCACTAGTGTGCAACGGGCATTAGGTGTAAAAGTGTGAATAGTACAAGCAACTCGAACAAACCTATTGGGTGCTTACGATATCGAGTATAGAGCGAGTGAGAGGAAGTAGTATCTATTTCCATCTACAACTAATATATTTTATGGCTACTCTTGCTTTGCTCTGTTCTTTTATCTACAGGAACAATATGA